CAGGGATGCCCCCCCAGCCCCTCGGCAGGGCACGGATCCAAGGTTCCTGCCTGGAATGAGCGAACTCCTTACCGGGGAAGTTTGTGAGCCCCCAGCTCTCGGCGTCTCCTGGTGTAAAATCCGGGGGCAGCAGGGGATGGGGTTTGGGTGGGCAGCGGGAGCCGGGCGCCCCCTCCTTCTGTTATCGGGGGGGCTCCTGCTCGCGGTTGAAGCTGATCCCCGCCGCGCTGCCGCAGCCCGGGCCGGGGTTTGCTCCCACCCGCCCGTTTAACGTCCTTTCCCCCCGGTCTTGGGCTCGGCTGGGCTCAGGTGGTGCCACCCGTGTCCCCACGTCCCCGTGTCCTCATGCGTGGTGCTGCTGTCACAGCCCCTCACTCAGGCATCAGGGATGGAAGCAAGTTTGGGGGGAAAATTGGGATTTCGGTGTCTGTTGCTGTAGTGGGGCGCGACCACCCTCTCTGCTGCTCACCTGGGAAGAGGGATTTCGCTTTTCACGGTGCTCCGGCAGCGCCGGGCTGGGGACGGGGAAGGTCCCTCGGGGGCAGCGGGGAGCCCGTGCGGGCCGGGCTCCGTTCTTGGCTCCGTTGCAGGATCCAGAGCTCCCGGAGGGGCAACGGGCGAGGGACGCCCCGTCCTGCCGGCGGGAGCTGCTGCTCGGCGGGAGGCGTTGGAGGAAGGATTGGCACCAAGGATACCTTGGCACCGCCGGGCTGCGCAGCCCCAGAGCATCCCAGCTCCGCTGAATCCGGGAGCACCGCGCTAGGGCAATACAGCTCCGGGTGCTGCTGCCGGGGGGAAACTTCCCAAGGAAGGTGGCTCCTGGGATGGCAACTGGTCACCAACATGTGCATTTGGAGACGAGCTCCCGGCGTCTGCTCCTCGCATCCTCCAGCCTCACTCTTTTATTTCCTCCCGTTCCAAAATATGGCCAAATATTTACATTTGCTGGGAAGCAGAAGACTCCGGTTGGGACCATTGGGAATGTTTCAGGAATATTTGAGGGTGGTGGAGGACCTTCCTGAGCCCTCAACCCTGGAATACACAGCCATCCTCCTCCCCCGATAGAGATCACCGCTGCTGGAAGAGATTATCTTCCCATAAAATCCCCACTTAAAATTAAAAGCCTGGCTAAGGGAGCAGCTTGTGGGAAAGGCTTTAGCCATGGCCGAGCCAGCTGGGCAGCACGGGGCATAAGGGATGGAGTGCCCATATCAGTAATTAAGTGAGAAGAGTAATGAGTGATTTTTTGGGGGGGAGCAGCTGTGGAGGGGTGCAGGGCTCCTGGGGAGCCTTCTGGTTTTCCACATCTCCTCAGTTCCACCCCCCCGCGATGGGGTCTGGTTGTGCTGAGGGGTCTCTGCTTGCGGTGGGTCAGAAGTGCCCATTAACGGGTGCCAGGGCCTGTGCTGGCCCTTTGTGGCGCTGCAGGTGACCAAAGTACTCCCCAAGCTCTTCTGCAGCCTCGGTTGACTTCTCTTTTGACTGTTATTTCAGCTGGAGGCTTCAAAGGGATCCGAGTTTTACAGTGTCAACTTCCCCCATGGTCATTGGTGAGATTTGGCTTCTGTAGCCTCCCTTTTTGCCAGCTCTTCTTCCCAAAATCAGTTTTCTCACTGTCCTTTTTTTTTTTTTCATCAGAGGTTTATCTGTGTATGGGAAAAGTCTGCATTCCTTAAACTGGGTTTAAAAAATCCATTTCCAGGTAATTATCTGCATAAAGTATTTATGGCATTGGAGAAATCCAGTGGCCCAGCTCTTTGGGTGCTGGTCCCCTGATGGTGGACAGTGATGTGTTCAACATAGCAAGTGTTGGTGGAGGCAAACCCTTCCAGGCTCTGGTGACCAGCCCAGCTCTCCCCTCCTGGCATCAGGTGTCTCACTTGAGTCCTTGGGACCCACCACAAGTCAGCTGGGTGGTTGTCCTTGTTCTTTCCCTTTGCTTGCCTCGAAGGTGGAGAAGTGATCAAATTGTGCTGTCTTGTCCTGCCCCAGCTCTGGTGATGGTGTTGAACTCAATATTTTTGCTGGAGGCTCTGGAAAAGCCAGGAGGAGTGATGGGTTAAGTCCTTGCACGTGCAGCTCATGGGTGCGTCACTGGGAATCCCGACCTCTGCTTTGATGCCACCCTGCTGCCCTTGAGAGGAGCTGGGAGCTAGTGGGGTGGTCTGTTCAGATACACCCAGAACATGTATCCTTCAGCTTATTTTAATTTTTCTACCATGATAATGGTGCTACAGCTCATGAGGCAAAGGCTTTGGTGGGAGTCAGACAGCAGCTCTTGTGGTGTGGAGACCTCTGAACATCACCTCACCCCTCCCTGGCCTGGCCCAGGTGGTTTCTCCCCTGGAAGCGCTGCCCATGCTGGAATAGCTCCTCCATAAGGCTCACATTGAGCTTCGCCATGTGCCGGAGAGTGCTGGCTGTGGGTAGACCAAGCTGGACATTGATATGAAGTCATCATCCTCCCAAACTTGGGAGAGCAGACACAGGAGTGGCGATGCCAGGGCAGGTGTACCAAGAAAAGTGTTGTGACGATGCTGTCAGCTTCCAGCGTGGCTCGCAGAGCCCGTGGCTGTCTCCCTGCTGACTCTGGTTTGGGGTGTCCTGTGTGCTGCGGGGCGGTGGGGGGGCAGCTGGGCAGGGTGTGGGGCAAGGTGTCCCCAAACCCCACCCTGAGGCCCCCGTGGTGATGTCCCTTGGGATTCAGGGCTGTCTCTGGACACCTTGGTCCTCTTGCTGGCATCAGATCTGGTGGTGCCAGCATCTTCTCCTAGAGAGGGACAGCTGAGCCACCACTGCTGGGAGCAAACCCCAGCAGAGGGGGGGGGTTTGGGGGGGAAGCAGTGAGGTTTCGGGGTCTCACGCTGGAGGCCAACATTGCTTTGGGGAAAATGTCTTGGTTTATGGCCCAAGCAAGGGGAAATCTGAGACTTGTGTCATTTTGGGGATTATCTCTCATCCGGTGAGAGCAGGACAGCAGCACCTTCAGGGAGATGCTCACACAGCCCTGGACAGGACACTTCATCTGTGGAGCAATTCTGGCATGTAGCTGGCCTGGAGAAAAGCACTTTCTAAACTCATGGATTCAGTAGCAGATGCAGCCAAATAGCCTGGATTAAATGATGAGAGGGTATTTCTAATGTCTCCTCTCACTCCATACTCAAAGGAAGCATTTAGGACCAAGCAGGAAGACTGGTTTGTGCTGAGCATCCTCTTATGTAGAAGTTCGTATGTGCACATAGGAGGCACCAGCACCTGGCCCCGCACGCCCGGCCAGCACTGTCTTTCTGCCTTCCTTCTTCTCTGGCTGCCGGCGGGCACAAAGTCTGGCTTGTTCCCTGCTCCTGCCGCTGCTGTCCAAGGCCACAGGCACTGGGCAGCCCCACAGAGGGGGCACACGGCCACACTGGCTCTCCCAGGGAGCTTTTGCTGGTCCCCAGTGGGGTGCTGAGCACCTCTGGTGTTACCCAGTTGTCTTGGCTTTGGGATTTTGCCAGAGAAAAACCTTTCCTGAGCCCTGAAAGGCTCTGATTTGCTTTTAGTTACTGTTGGTGAGTGATGTTTCAAGTGTGCCCTCTGAAAAGCTTGCCCTCACCCCTGTGTCCTGCACACCTCCAGGGCTGGAGTGAAGCGCTGCTAGACTGGGATTTGCATTTTAATTAAGCTCATGGATTTTTTTTTCCAGGCTTGCTGTAGTAAGGTCTGCTTCCCCTGGAGCCCCTGCGTCTGCAGGGCTTCGTTTCGAGCAGTTTTCCAGAGGTATGCTCCGTCCCGGCTCTCCATTTATAGAAAGGAATTAAGGAGAAATGAGAGAGCATTACTAAGAGGATTTGCACTGAGACTTACTCAATTTCTCCAAATAATTTGCAATAGCTCTGGATTCTTTAATCAACACTCATTTCCTTTTGGAAATGAAAGGAGAAGCGGGAAGGCGCCATGCAGGTCCTGAGCAGAGTTTGGCTCTTCACAGAGCAGGAGATTTGCAATTCAGAGAAGACTGAGAGTGTAGTTTGGGGAGATCTGGCAGGGGGTGAGGGTGTGCATATGTGCATGTGAAAGAGAGAAATGTTCCTCAGTACTCAGAAAGCCTCTGTCACTCTGTCCCAGGTCCCTCTGCGAATTTTTGGGCTCCTCTGTCCCTGGCTGGAGCCTGCAGTCGCATGCCTTGTGTTTTAGTTGACACAGTCGGGAGTGGGGGACACTCTGGTGCAGAGCTGTCAGGGGCTCAGCTCCGGTGAGAGACAGGAGTCACGGGGGTCCCGCGGGATGTGGTCCAGCTCACCCCAAGGACTGGCAGCACTCCTTGCCAGCAGGATTCCTGAAGTCCTGGAGGAATGGTGCTAAATTCCCCTGGGCAGGGCTGCGGTGCCATATCAAACCGCAGGAAAAGATCTTGCACGGGTTCCTGGGCCCCCCTGGGTGCTGCAGAGAGACCTCAGGCAGGTCCTGCTGTTCCCGGGCAGAGATACCAGTTTGAATAGTTCCTGCTCTGCATTATCTGACTCCGTTCCTTCCCTACAGGGCCCGAGCCTTTCCGTGCTTGTGGCAGTGGGCCTTCCTTGTCCCACCTCGCTCACGGCGTTCCTGGTGCTGCTCGCCCAGCCTCAGCAGAGCACCCATGGCCCAGCCCTGCCCCGGGTGCTGCTCTGCTGAGGTCTGACCCCCACCCCAGCCCCGCAGCCCTGCCAGAGGGAGGCTGCCATGGCGGTGTCACCCCCTTGCAGCTCTCGTGGTGCAAATGGGGCCCCACCGGCCTCTCCTCTAGCTTCCCGCCAGCCTCGTTGCCTCAGCGGCGTTGCACAAGAGGAAACACTGGGGTTTCCTTTCCCGGCAGCAGGGCAGGGTGTGGGGCTGGTGGAAGGGCCCAGCTGCCCCGTGCCTGCTGCAGTCCCCTGCCCTGCTCCCAGCGCTGGGTGGGCAGCAGTGGGAGAGGAGCCCTTTGGGCACCCATGTGGGTATGGGGACGTGGGGCTGACATCTCTCCATTGGCAAGAAACCAGAGCTGAGCCAGTGGCACTGCTGAGGACACGCTTGTGGCCTGGCAGGTTAGAAACAGCCCTTGTGGTGTAGAAACCCATAATTAAAATTACAGTACCATCAGCTCTAGGTGCGGGATGGTGTGGGGAAGCAGTGCCTGTGTGTCTGGGTTGAAGACCCCCTCCACATCAAAGAAGTCTGAGCTTTTCTCCAAGGCAGTCCTAAATTTTGCTCCTCCTTGACCCAGCTTTGCAGCCAAGACTCATGGACAGGACCATATGCCACTGTCGCCTTCCCTGACCCTGCTCGTCCCTTGGAGGTGACGTTTGCAGCCTTGGTCCCTCGCTGCTGCCCTGTGCTCCTCCTGTTGGCTCGTGTGGGTGCTGCCGGAGCCGCTGGCTGATGGAGCAATGGTTTGAGCAACTCCCAAGGCCCGGTGCCTGCTCAGAGTGGCTCCCGGGGTGGGAGCCCTGCCCTGCCCTGCCCTCCTGGAGGATGCAGTGGGGAGGTGGGGTGCCTGTGACACCTGCAAGCATGGAAACATGGGATCCAGATTTTCCTCAGAAAACCTTTCTGCCATCTAGACAGACATTGCATGTGCTTCAAACGGAGCAGGGGTCTCGGGGATGGAGGGTCCTGGAGGCTACTGCCCGGACGCAGGGGCTGCCAGCCCGCTGTCACCCTCACACTGTGTCTCCCCACTCTGGGGCATCACCAAAGGCCTCTTCAGTTGGAAAAAAGTGTCCATGCTTTACCAGGAAACGTTGTCAGGAAAGAACAGTTAAACTGGGAGCTCCATTTCCAGCTTTCCTGGGGATGTGCTGACCCCTGGCACTGCTTCCCTCTGGACACCACCCCCCTCTGGTGTTTCAAGGGCAGTGGGAGTGGACATGTGCTGGGATGAAGCCACCGGCTTTGGGAGAGCAGTGCCTGCATCCTGCCTGCAGATCTTCCACTTGTCACCTCCAGCTCTGCACCTGTGGTCCAGGAGTCCTGTTTCGAGGTGGGATGTGTGTTTAGACACTGATCCTGGCACTGCTCACTCCATAGCAGTTATCCTGCCTGCCTGTGTCTTCCTGGCTGTGGACTGGGATTTTGGATGAGGACAAGCTGCACCTGGAGCTGGATCCATGGCGTGTGTCACTGAGGGCTCTTGGGAGGTGGGCATCATGCTCCAGGCTGCCACCACTGGCAGAGAGGCGCCTTCCTGAGGATTTTGTGGGGATTTTTCTAATGCTGAATTTCATTTTATGGTTTTCATAAAGGACAAGGGGCTGCAGCCGGGCTTAGTCCTCTGGCATTGAGAACCTGCTTGCCTCCATCCAGTCCCTCGAGAAGGGATATCTGATGGGGTCAGGTTTCTGCACCGCCAGAGTTTCTTTCAGCTCTTCTTAAAACCAAGCTAAGATGCAGGTTCTGGTCCGTGTCCAGTCTGCCACTGGAACGGGATACTCATACCATGCAGCTGGCGATCCAGGTCCCCTGCCACCCTGAAATGAGCCTCCTGCCATCTGACTGATGACCTCTATGGTCACCAGTAAACAGGGACCTGGTGGTGAGGGCTGTGAGCAGCTCAGCACGGCTGGAGACCCGCCGTGGTCCCCAGCAGAACCAGCACCATAAGGATAGGACAGCAAACACCACGGGGCTGCATGGACCGGCTCTGCTCCAGAGCTGACAGTGCAGCTGGAGTGAGCAGCGGCATCCCCACAGCAGGACTGGTTCATACTGGGACATCAGGATCCAGGCCCTGTGTTTCAGCTAAGGGGTGCTCAGTCCTGGGATGGGGGTGCAGTTGGCAGTGGTGTGTGGGATCAGCTGTCTCAGCCCTTCAGCACTTTGTCCCTGCTCTGGCTGGTGGATGTTTTGGTGATTGAGGGACTTTCTGGGGAGGTGAGTTGGGCTCAATGCTGCGGGGTTGGGGCCGTGCTCAGTTGTACGTGGGGTGCCTGTGGCTGGTGCCCATGGGCTCCCCCAGCCCTGCTCAGCACAGAGTCACTGGGGTTGGTCCTGATGAAGCTGTAGTGGGGCCACCTCGGAGAGGGTGAGCAAGAGGGGGTGCAAGAAGTGTGGCAGTGAGGAAGGCGCTGGGATTAATCCCACTGCTTTAATTGGTTTATATCAGTAATTAGCTACTTGTGGCAGTCCTGAGCCAGACGGTTTCTTCCCTCAGCAGCAGGATCTTCATGGAGCAGGTGCTGGGCAAGTGCTCAGTGCTGCTGCCAGCAATGCAGGAGCTTGGGGAGAGGGTGGCCCTGTGCTGGCATCGCTGTGCTCCCGCTTAGGATCAGCCACAGCGTCTGCCTGCTGCTGACAGAGCTCTCCGAGGGGCAGAAATGGGGTAGGGTTAAAAGTCCTGCCCAGCAAACATTTCCAGGCTGCTGCTGCCTCTCTGGAGGCTAAATGGGGTGCTGGCTGTGCCCAGGCTCCTCAGCATGGGCTTCTGACATCCGCACTGCAAGTTTTGCCCTTCCTGGCAGAGAGCAAAAGGGCAGCTTGTGGGCAGGGTTGTGCTGGGGAGAGGCTGCCTGCAGCGTTGCCTGTGCAGGGTCCGCAGAGCTGCGGGCAGTGGGGATGGATGTGCTGTGTCTGGATGTGCCTGTCGGTGGTGGGATGGGGAGGTGGCAGCAGGTACCAGCCAGGACAGCTGCTTGGACTGGGGGCAGCAGGTTTTCTCCTGCTCTTCTAACCCCCCAGCTAGGTTCCTGTCCTTTGATGCCAGACAGCGTGGGCAGCCCTGGTCCTGCTCTGCAGCATGCAGTGGTCTCGCCATCCCACTGCTGGATTCCCCGTGCCCCCAAAACACCCTCGCTGCTCAGCCCCCCCACAAGTGGAGTAGGAGCTGGAGGCTGCTGCCTGTGATCCAAGGACAGGGGAGGTAATTGCCTTCCCTCTGCCCCGTCCCACCACCCTGAGGGCAGGAGAGTGTCCTTTGTGGTTGCTGCTTTAATTGCATCGTTATTATGCTGGGTAAATGAGTCCTGGCAGCAGCTGAACCTGGCGGATGCCAACCACATCCCAGAAAGGCATCCGGCAACGGCAGCATCCAGCTGGCACGAGCAGGGGCCAGGGACCTGGATGGGAGCCAGCCACTGACAGGTGCCGGCAAAGCTGGGGGGTCTCAGCGGGTGAGGGGGGACCAGGGGGAAGTCTGAACCCTTCCCTTCTCACCCCCCCTCCACCGCTTCTCTTTTGCAGACTGTCAGCATCAATAAGGCTATTAATGCACAGGAAGTGGCTGTCAAGGAGAAACATGCCAGAAATATCCTTCCCAAAGCTGGCCGTGGGACAAGTGAGCGTGGGAGCGGGGCCGGGGCTGCCCGGAAAAGGGGCAGCGGTGAGGGGACACGTGGGGAGAGGTGCTGGCGCAGCTGGGCCAGCACCACAAGCTGACTGCCGGGGTGCTGAGAGTGGCTGGATGGGACCCTGGGGGGGATTGTCTTGATGATTGTTGGGGTTTTTTTCTGGTATGGCACAGGGTCCCTGCTCCTGCTGCAGCCTGTGCTGGTCAGTGGGTGCCCAGCCTTGGTGCTCCCAGCGCTGCTGTTCCAGGAGGGGCAGATGCCCGCAGCAGGTTGTCTGCCTGAGGCGAGGATGCTTAATCCCCTAAAAGTAGATCCCCAGCAGGGCAGCCAGGAGGGTTTGGCAGAGGCCCAGCCCCAGCCTCGAGCATGCCACAGTGCTCCCAGAGCAGTGGTGGGCTGGAGGAGAGGGGACAGCGTGTGCCTGGGCTTGGCAGCTCATCGGTTCCCCGTGGTGACCCAGGGTGGCTGCTCTTCATCACTGCCCGAGGGGAGAGGAGCATTTCCTTGACCAGCCACCACCATGCATCCTGGGCACGCATCACGAGAAGGGGGCACAGACCTTCTGGTCAGTGGTGAACCGGCTGCCGCTGTCAGGCAATGCTGTGCTCTGCTGGAAGTTCTGCCACGTCTTCCACAAACTCCTCCGGGACGGCCACTCAAACGTGAGTGCTGCGGGCTGGGCTTGGCAGCTGCCCTGGGACCAAATCCCTCCCCGTGCAGGGCTGCATGGGGCGGTGGGAGGTGCTGGTGGGTCAGTGCCCTCAGGGACCTGCTCGTTTTGCCAGAGACTTCCTGGTGCTGCTCTGCCCACAAACCAACCCCTGTGCTACAAACCCAGGGGCCCACCCCAGCGCTGGTGCCGAAGGAAACGGCTCAGCACGGGGTGTCACCACTGGTGTGGGAGCCATCAGCAAGGATCCTCCTGCCCCATGTGCAGATGGGGAAACTGAGGCACCCTGGAGCTGGCAGTAGTGACACCAGGGTTGGGAACGCATCAAGACCTCCCATTCTTTACCCCAGTTGCTGGCTTCAAGTGTGGCACACCTGGCCCCAGGGCTCTGCCTGCTGCCCACACTGCCTGCTTACTTTCATCCTCATTCCTCCAGGTCCTGAAGGACTCCGTGAGATACAAGAATGAGCTGAGCGACATGAGCAGGATGTGGGTAAGTGGCTGATCCTGCCAGCCACTGCAGTGGAGACAGCCCAGGGGTCCCTCGGCAGCGCCCAGCACCCCAGCCAGGCTGGGGGTGGTGTTGGCTTGGACGGTGGTTGCACCCAGGAGGAGCCAGGCTCCAAGGACTGTGGCTGCTGTGACCTCCCCAGGCTGGGTTTGCCATCTGTATTCAGTACCCCATTCCACCAAAATCAAATGCTTTCTTCCTATTTTATGGCAAAACCTGGTAAAACTCAGCTCTGGTGATCAAACATGGCACCAAAATCTGCAGAGAAGATGACGAGAAGGTCAGCTTTCAGCTGCTGCAAGACAGCCTGCAGCCCATGTGTTGGCAAGGGGGGTTTCAGCTGTGTTTTGGGGGGAGATAAGGGAGGGGACACTCATCCTGCAAGGGAAGAAGGCTTTTTCACATCCTGCTCCAGATCTCAACAGCTTTTTGGTGTCCCCAGGGCCACCTCAGCGAGGGCTACGGACAGCTCTGCAGCATCTACCTCAAACTGCTGAGAACCAAGATGGAGTTTCACACCAAGGTGAGCATCATCCCACCCCCATCCCCACAGCCACAGCAGGGGAGGGTGATGCAGTGCTGAGGTGAAAGTGGTGGCAATGTTACAGGACCGAACAGGGGCTTGCAGAGCTGTCCTGGTGCTGTCACCCCAGAGGGTCCTCTCCTCTGTCATGGCCATCCTGCTGCCTCCATGAAACGTCCCAGGCTGCCAGGGTTCATCCTTAGCCTGGATAAAAAGTGGCCCAAGGGCCAGTGCCTTGGGGATGGATGGTTTCCTGGTGGATCAGGGCTCCTTGGAGGCACCTGGACTGGACTGGGAGCTGGGGGGCTACAAGAAGCAGTAAGAGATGCCCAGCTTTGGGCTGCATATCCCCTCCCAGGTATCCTAGATAGGCAGAGGTGGAAGAGGCCATGGGGTTCTAGAGTGGGGACGGCTTGTGGGGGTCATGACAGGCTGTGCCGCCCTGTAGGAGCAGTACCTGCCCATCCCCAGTGTTGCCCTGGCAAGATCTGCAAGAGCTAAAGCAAACCTAGGCAGCAGGGCCAGGCAGGAGGCAGTGCAGGCAGGGCAGGGGCCAGCGATGAGGTGTAAATCCCCTGGAAAAACCTGAGGTGGAGCCTGGCTTTCCTGCATCACCACAAATGCGGGGAGGGATGCGGGGATTTTGGCTGGTGGGATGTCCCTGTTGGTGCATGGAGGAGAATGAGCAGCACCACCTGCCCTGGCTGGTGTGCGAGCATGAAAGGTTGGTTATTCACCACAGTCTGCAAGGGAGAAATTAAATAGATGCGTACAGAAAGCTCCCTTTGCTTGGGACCTCATAGTGCTTTCTAAAATAAGGTTTTTATATGGGCAGAGAGGGTGAAGTGGGAGCAACAAGTCAGCCTGGAAACTCAAGAATGATGGAGAAATAATGATTAACTTAATCTGAGCACCTCGGAGCATGCACAACTTAGTTATTCTCATCAGAACTTCAGCAGAGTTGCAGGTTTAAGATTTCTTTATGAGCACCCAGTTCATTGCAGACCAAAAATCTCACCTCAGATTTATTAGACAAACCAGGAAAACAGGATGAGGTAGCACAGAACAAACATCTGTCCCCAGCAGCCTCGGTGCTCCCAGGGCTTCTGTCTCCATCGCCTGCCCTGCTTGGTAAATGCCACTATGCACAGGTGCTGTGGGATCGGTCCCAGATGGAGCCAGCACAATGTCCCATCCTGTCCACCCAGCGCTGTCCTCAGCTTGAAATAATCCGTGCTGGTCACCAAAATCAATTTTTTCTCTCTCCCCTTTGGGGTCTTGGGCTGTGGGTGTTCCTGGACATGGGAGCATCCCAGGGGACCATCCCAGATGGGTTTTTTCCCCAATTATCAGGATCTTGTTTTCAGCCTCTGAAGCAATGCTGCCATGCAGGTCCCTTCTTTGGGTTGGTGTTCAGAGAGGATGCACTGGCTCTGAGTCAGCTCCACACATGCCATGTTAGCTGCCAGGGGTGATGGGGAGTGTTTTTAGTCAGGGATGTGACATGCCCTGTTGTGCCCCAGGAAGCCATGTTCACAGAATCACAGAATCATCTCGGTTGGAAAAGCCCTTGAAGCTCCTCCAGTCCAACCATGACCCTCACCCTGACCGTTCCCAACTCCCCCAGATCCCTCAGCGCTGGCTCAGCCCGACTCTTCAACCCCTCCAGGGATCCCGGGGACTCCCCCCCTGCCCTGGGCAGCCCATTCCAACGCCCAACAGCCCCTTCTGCAAAGAAATACTTCCTAATATCTAGTCTAAACCTTCCCTCACATCAATGGAGCTTATTAAGCAGATGCTTTCATGTAGAATAAAGTAAAATATGCTTGTGGTGTTAACAGCATGCTGCCAAGAGCAGGATGGAAAGTCATGGTGGGCTTGTACACAAGCGCATCCCTGTGTGGCTTCCAAGTGTCCTCATCCTTACAGTAACCAGCTACAGCAGGTTTGGTACCAACAGTGTTTCCTTCCTTTCTGAGCTCTGCTGGGAAGAGGTGTTTTCTGAAGCCAGGCTGTACCCATCACCCCAATTTCGTCTGGAGCTGTGTGACCTTCCCTGAAACTCCTGGGCAGCATGAAGAGGCTTTGCCCCTCAGAGCAGATACTGCCTCCTTCCCCTCCAGCTCTCAGTGATGCTGTGCATGAGCTGGAACCCTGTCTCCTCCCAGCTTGGCAGGTTTCTAAGCCCAGGAGGAAATGACTATTCTTGCTGGGGAGAATACAGGCACCATGGAGATGCTGCCATCACCCGGGGCTCAGCCGTCCTCGTGTTTGCCTTCAGCAGCTCAGAAGAGTTCGCCTGGTCTCTTGCACTGAGGCTGCCAGCCAGTTTGGCAACCATGGTGCTCACAGAGCGGTGGCCAGAGCAGGAGATCCTCAGAAACACTTTCCCAACTCCTGTTTCCCCACGCAGAATCCCCGCTTCCCTGGCAATCTCCAGATGTCCGACCGGCAGCTTGATGAAGCAGGGGAGAACGACGTCAATAATTTGTGAGCGCAGGGCAGGGGCAGGAGGTGAGGGAGGGGGGCGGGTGCAGGCAGGGTACCCAACCCCACTGGCAGCGTGACCAAGCCAGGGACGGGACCTTCCCCCTCCCCCTGCCACGGGTGCTGGGGGTGGCAGAGCCCCTGGGCAGGGCTGGTGCGTCCATGCCGGATCACTCGCTCATCCCTCTGGGGTGGCACCTGGCACAAGTTGAGGCCCATGGGTGGCTGCAGGGATGATCCCCAATCATCCTCATCCTTTTTTCCTAGTTTTCAGCTGACAGTGGAGATGTTTGACTACCTGGAGTGTGAGCTGAACCTCTTCCAGACAGGTAAGCCCCCATGGTGCCCTGCCAGAGCGTGGGGTGGAGGGTCTGCAGGGGCTGAGCTGCGCTGGGGGGAGGCTCTGGGAAGGATGCTGTCTGAGGGCATTGCAGCTCATCTCTTTTCTGAGCATTGCACCCGAGTTATTATTAGATGAAGTCCCTGTGTGTCGTGCTGCCTCATGGCAGCCCTCTGGCAGTGCTGTGGGGCTGGCCACATCACTCCATCCCACTCCCCCCTGTGTGCATCACTTCCACCACCCAGACTTTGGGCTCTCCCACTGTGGCAGCCTCCCCAGGCTGAATTTCTTCTTGTCTTACTCATGGCCTTGCGACAGGTTTTGGTTTTTATTAGCAGTGAACGCAAGCTGCAGTGGGTGTTTGGCAGTGCTGGAGCTGAGGGAGGCATGAGGGCACCCTGCCTTCCTGCTGCCCCACTGTGCAAGCAAGCAGAGGGGTAAAAAACAAGCCAATCTGAACCCTCAGGACTGCCATGCACCTCTGTACACTTAAGCAAGATCAGTTTGGGGTAAATTGAAGCAATTCTGGGGCAAGCCTTCATGTGCTGCATGCACCAGGCATGTGTGCTGGTGGGACAGAGCTGTGTGTCAGTGGAACTGGAGCAGCACCCTTGTCTCATGGCCATGTGCTGGGACTGGGACAGTGCCTGGGAGCTCATCCATGCAGCAAAGCCACGTCCCTGAAGTGCTCCGGGGAGCTCTTGCTGCTCTGCCCATCAGAGGGGTGTTGCTGGATGGAGGGAGGTGAAGCTGCCGTCTTCTCCAGCTGCCCTGCCAGTCTGCCTGCTGTGCCAGCGGCCTTTGAGGGCGAGCAGCCCACAGTTTGTGGCAGACCCACAAGGCTGGACCGTGAAAATGGTCACTGGACACATCACCAGCAGCTCAGCATCCCCCACCCCAGGCTGGCCCCAGCCCTGGCAGAAACACCTTCATGTTGTGGGGTGCATCCTGCAACCCTGGCACGAGATGCAGTTCAATGTGACATGGACAGAGGGTTGGGGACATGAGGTGCTGCCCGCTGCTCCTGGCTGGTTGTGGAGCATCTCCCTGCCGGCCTGCACAGTGTACCCGAATGCCACTGGGATGGCAGTGAAGGGCAGAGCACAAGGCTGCCTGTTCTTGGGGGCCAGGAGCTCTGCACCTCCAGCCCACGGTGCCAGGCTGAGGTGTTTGTTCCCAGGCCTGCGTGGGAGTCCTGCATGGGAATTTCCCCTCCTGCTGAGCCTGCAGGGTGGTGGGCTGGTCCCCCAAGGGCCAGCAGGGCTCTTGCTCCAGGTGAAGGTCTCTTGCTCTGGGTGATGTTTGTGGATGTGACTGATGTGGCGTGGCACCCACTGGTGCTGCCAGAGCCTAATCCCACGCTCCTTCCCACAGTGTTCAGTTCCCTGGACATGTCACGCTCAGTGTCAGTGACGGCCGCGGGGCAGTGCCGCCTGGCCCCGCTCATCCAGGTGATCCTGGACTGCAGCCACCTCTACGACTACACTGTCAAGTTGCTCTTCAAGCTCCACTCCTGTGAGTGTCCCCAGTGCCACTGAGTTCAATCCATGACATTCGGGCAGGGTGGGGACACAGACAGGGACACAGGGGGTCACCACCCTGCTCAGGCTGGGCTGTTCACCTCCCACCTTCTTCCCAGCCTTTTTGGGGGTTGAAAGGAGTCACCAGGGCAAGGGACAAGGAGGTGCAAGCGCTGAGGGCCTGAGCTGTCCCAGGAGCCTGCCTTGCCAAACACCCCTCGGCCACGGGGATGGTGCCAACCAGGAGCTCCCCAGCTCCGCATCCCTCAGGACTGAATTGTGATGGCAGCTGCCTGAACACCAGCTTGCTGCCTTTCCCTGCCCTGGGGGTGTCTGGGCGGAGATGACTGCCTTTCCTGCAGCAGGATGCTGAGCCTGGAACATTCAGACCCTGGGAGGAGGGTGGTCACCTCTGGGAAAGACCCATCCCCACCTGAGTGTGCCACTGGGTTGTCCCCTGCTCTGTGCTCCCTTCCAGCACAGAGATGTCCTTTGACCTTCCTACTTGCTCCTTCTTTCAGGTCTGCCAGCAGACACGCTGCAGGGCCACCGGGATCGCTTCCTGGAGCAGTTCAGAAAGTAAGTTCCCAGACCTGGAGTGCTGGCTCAGTCCTGCCACTGATGCTCTGGGGGTGCTCCCAGGGTGGAGGGAGTGCAGAGGGGTGCTGGAGCCTCTGTGTTGGGGCTTAGCAGCCAAGTGATAGAGATGAAGTGCAGGAGTCAGTCTTGCTTGGGGCTCTGAAATCCAGCCTGCTTCTACCTCTTGGCTCTCCCTGGAGCTTCCTCCAGGACAGCCGCTCCACTTGGCTAATCTACAGCTATTGAATTATCCAATAACAGCGTTATTAATTCTAACAAGGCGTTCAACCACTGACAGTGCATCCAACGATTTAAACCCTTCAAACCCTTTAATTGCAGATTTAAATGCAATTTGCAGTCGACATGCTGAGATGAAAGGCTGGGCACAGGCTGAGAAGCCGAGCGTGGGGGGTTGCCAGTGGGAACACCCCAGGGATGCTTCAGGATGGGTGTTGAGTGTGCAGGGTGCTCAGCACCCTCAGCAGTGTTCTCTGCTTGCAGTGGGTCCATCGCCTCCATCAGGAGATGGATGTGTTGGTAGGAGAATGCAAACAGCACACGGAGGTGGTTTGAAGTGCTGCTGCAGGAGGGAGGGGCTACACAAGCCCTGGTGGGGACTCACAGTCCTGGCACTGGGAGTGTGGGTCAGGGAAAGGAGACTTTTTTTTTCCCCCCAATTTTGTTGAATTTAAACAAAAATGCCATTTGCACAAACCCGAGGGAGCTTGTTAAAAGGGACAGCCAAGGATGAAACCTTTGGGTGTTGCAAAGCTGAGGAGTGGTCCATGAAGAGCCTTGCAGAGAGCCTGGGTGCCAGGAATGCTATTTGGTGGTGCAGTGGAGCAGAGGTGGCTTTCGGGTGGGAAAATCCATCCCTGAGGGGACACAGAAAATGAAAGGTTAAAGCTCATGGCACTTGTGTCTATCCCAAAGAAAACAGCAGATAACAGGTGTAGGAGGAGAGAGCCAGAACCAAGTCATGGTCACCCAGTTCCCTGAGACCTTGGACGTGAGGGTGGCTGTGATGCTGCTGGAGTATTGCCAGTGCCCCAGGGCTGAGAAGTGTTACGGTGCTGGTTGATAAAAAAGGCTCCAGGGAGAAGGGAGGGAGGCAGCAGAGGGACTGACCCAGTGCTTGGCACAGCAGGGAAATGACAAGTGGAATGGAAGAGGGTCTTCATGAAAAAGACAACAAGGGGTGGGGATGCTGCTGTATGTTGTATATGTGGGCACTGAGTTCATGAGAGGCCATGAGCTGCTGCAGGGTGATATGCAGTGGGAGTGAACATACTTATTTCCAAAAGTTCTGGGGAAGAAACGGAACTACCCTGAGAAATGCAAGTGACACTGAGCTGGGCAGTGCACTCATACACTGGAGGGAAGGGATGGCATCCAGAGGGACCTGGACAGTCTGGAGGAGGGAGACATGTGAACCTTGTGGAGTTCAGCCAGGCCAAGTGCAAGGTCCTGCACAGGGGTTGGGGCAACGCCCAGTACCAGCACAGGGAGGAAGGGAGGGAAGGAGGAAGGGAGGGAGGGAGGGA